GTGTTTGTTTACCACAAAGTATATTTTGGTCATCCCATTAAAAATAACATTCAAACTGGATCATTTTAGAGATTTAAAGTGCTGAAAATAGTTGTGTGAAATGCTTGAAAGTCATTGAAAAGTGCTTGAATTGCTCTCTCAAAAGGTAGTACAAACCCTGAAATTGATGTAATGCATTCGACTATTTCTAACACAACACCATGGTTACAGTTAGGGTTACCGCTTCTGGATTCCTGACGTACGTCAGCGCTGTTTATAACAGAGAATTCTGTGCAGAATTTGAATGATTCTCACACGATCCCGCAGCAACCTTATCATTGTGCGGCGAATTCAAACGCTTCTCACTGGATCTCGCAGCACTGTTGCATCTGTGCAGTAACAGTGTCGCGAAAGCAACTTTGCTCCCGAGTAAAGCTGTTCTGAGCTCGGACAAGTTTGCTTGCGTCGCGGTCCGAGCTGATAAACGGTCCGCGCTGCGCAGCTCAAACGTAGCGTGGTTTAGTTTCGCTTTCATTTCGTTTGCCGTTTGATGTTTCTCAAATGCAACAGAAATGGCAGCGCTTATGAGTTGGACAACACGGTGGTCGCGCCAGTGTGACCGCTCACAAAAATGAGTCGCACCGGCAGAAAAAATGGTCGCAACGTAGCGCGGTTTAATTTCGCTTTCGTTTAGTTTGCTGTTTGATGTTTCTCAAATGTAACAGAAATGGCAGTGCTTATGAGTTGAACAACGCGGTGGTCGCGGCAGTGCGACCGCTCACAAAAATTTGTCGCACCGGCAGAAAAAATGGTCGCAGTCTGGAGCCCTGTGCAATATATTTTAAAGTGTAATTTATTCTTGAGTTGGCAAAGCTGAATTTTCAGCATTATTACTCCAGTCTTCAGTGTCACAAGATTCTTTAGAAATCATTCTAATATGCTGATTCGCTGCTCAAAAAATTGTTTTTTATTGTTATCAATGTTGAAAACTGCTTAATATTTTATTTATTGACTATTTAATGAATAGAATTCTTTAATGAATAGAAAGTTGAAAAGAACAACATTTGAAAAAGAAATGTTTTGTAAAATAATAAATGCCTTTGCTGCCGTTTTTGATCAATTTAACGCATCCTTGCTGAATAAAAGTTGCATATCCATATGAATGCAGATTCTTACAATGTTCAAGTAGGATGCAGCACGGTTCGCATAAAGCTTCTCTTTCAGGTCTTGAGAGATGATGATGTCCTCTGATTCAGCATACTCTGCTATGTTTAAGGACTCGGTGTATAATTCAACAGATCGCGTCCATTCGCCTTCAAGGAACACATCATTTGCCTCACCAAACAGATTCCTCACCAAACTCTGGATGAACACCTAGAAAAACGAATCGATGCATAATATAAATATCTAATCAAAAACTGTGATCAGTGCTGGATTGATTGTGAGAGGAAACCACATACCTCATACTGCTCTTGAGTGCCAGGAAAAGGCAGGGTAGACCTACGATTAAGAAGACAATTTGAAACCATTAAAACACAGGTGCAAAAAACATGAGCAATGACAGAGTTGCCGGGAAACAACAGGTCATGAATTAGTGAGGTTGGGTGACAAAGTGTGTAATTTGCATTCCTGAAAGTGTTTTAACTGCCACTAAATTATTTTCATAGGACAGAAATAAATCATCAGTGGATGAAGTCAGTCTGAAACTATTTCTCTCTGTTTCCCTCTATAACACAAACTGAAGCCACTTCAGTCGTCTCTTCATGATCAAAACTTGCTGATGGTCACAGGTTTGCATACTGAACACTTACTGAATGAACTGCAAGCCCTTCTGAATGTCCTTCCATCGGCTGCTTCGGTCCTGGCCTGTGGCTGACATCTTCCCATACGCGTGTAGGACTTTACTGCAGTCAACACCTATGATTTATATAAATATATACAGAAATCAGACCTTACATTGATTTAACACAGATTTTCCTAAGTATCATGTATTGACACGTGTCATATAGTGAAATAGGAAAAGTATTCGTGTTCTGCTCTCGGTTTTAAAAAAAAGCAATGCTTTCTCAACAGTGATGGGATGTTCAACTTTTATTTGCGCAACCTGGTTCTTCAGAACAGTTTGTTTCAAAGAACCGATTCGTCGATTGAACCAGGGTTCCTACACATTTTCCTCCTAAAAATTCCATACTTTTCCAGACTAAAATTACCAAACCACTCAGTAGATTTTCAGACCATATTTATCATAAATGGTTCATAGAGCATTATTTTCAACTTTATGTTTGGTACATAGTACAGTCATCTGTAAATATTTTTATTTTCTCAGGGCTTTATTTATTGATTACTAAATAAACCAGATAAGTCCTCTGCAGCGGTGTTGGATAAATGACTCTGTTATTGTCTTCTTGCGTTATTGACAAACTATTTTCCTGTTCGACACTGTTGACACAATCAGTATTGTATAAAGTGCTATACAAATAAAAATGACACTACTTTCTCGAAGTGACAACATACAAAGCCCCTAAAAAAACTACAGACTTTTGCATGCACACAGGAAACTTTTTTTTGTGCCTTCAAGAAAATATTGACATGCGCATGGGAATTTTTTATGTGCTTACTCATTACAATTTCTATTTTTATATATAAATATAACCTATAAAGTATTTATAATGTAAATAATGCGAAAATAAATTCACATATCTGGACTATTCTAAAAAAACGTTCTGACTATCAGCTCATTCATCGGTTCTTGGCCTATTACAAGCCCGACAGATAGAATTCTCACTTCAGGTCTGCACACATCCAAAAACGTATTTTAAATGCAAAATTGATTTCCGTGCGCTCGAAAGACTTTTTTCTTTGCGAAACGAACATTTTCTCCACAAACTCAGATCGCGCGTGTGCAAAATGCACTTTTGTGCGCTCAAAATATGATCTTTCGCGCGCAGAATTGTGGCAGAAATGTAAGCCCATACATTTCTGACTATACGCGACAAAACCAGTAAGGAATGCAGTATGAAATAACATACTTCCTTAACTTTGGTCCCCTTGGCGGCAGTCAAGGGAAATTCATCGAAAAGTGGCGTCTCATATCGGTTGATGTAATATTAGCCAGAGAAAACTTCTCGCATAGTTCATAAAAAAAACATTCGCGATAAAGAAACGCTAACTTTGTCTCAAACTGAAGTGAGCCGGGGTCCCTAACGTTTGTTCGAACGCGCATTCGACGCACTGTCTACAAAGGCAGCTGCGCTCATTATTGAAACACAGCCACTGTATAGCCAACTGTTTTCACAAACTTGTCTATGCCAGTGGGCATTTTTTTGCCGCAAGACTGGCACCGAGACTCTGACCTGTTTATCCGTGAAACCAGGAACACGTAGGTCTTGTGTGCTAGCCAAATGGTTGGTCATGCAAACTCTTGTGTCGCTAGGTAAACTAGCATAATAGCATTTTTACCGCGCACCTCTGCCCACTCACATCAGTTTAACAGCGGCCACCCGAGCATATGTACGCGAAAAAATGTATGTGTTACTACCCTAAAAAACACTCACCTTAAGTAGATCAGTGTTCAGCGGGAAAGAGAGTGCTCCATACAATCGCTAATGTTTTCATGTGTTCGTCAATCCTGTCTCTTCTATCGGCAACGTGATCTTCGTGACGTCTTGTTCACTTTTTCAGTAAGAAGCTGAAGATGGTTACAGCGCCCTCTTCAGACGTACTCGAAAACAGCTGCGGTCATTTTCAAACTGATGGCATGCTTTCAAATATACAATTGTATATTGTATTTTCCTCTATGGGATTTGAACATTTATTTAATTTGCAATTAAGTAACTATGTACATACGTAAATGCAATAAGCATATTCTTTAACAGTGTAATGAACAATAGTAAATTAATGCGTCTTATTTGACGTTGAATAGGCTAATAGTATACATAACATTACTGTGTTATTGCTATGCACATTAAATTAGAGGGAAAAAATTAAATACACGTAAAACACCTGTAAAAAATTCAATAAGTAAATATTCCTAAAAAGTCCTTCTTATAAATACAGTCAGTGGTCTATTTTTATGGATTTTTAAACTTGCTTCCGCTTTTAATAATAAAATGGATATTGAATCTGCCTTTGCACAGATTACCCAATACAGAAAAATGTTAACAAAGATGCTATTAAAACAAATTGAGTCAAAAAGTCAATATGTTAAAAAAAAACAAAAAAAAACATAAGAAATGGACCTTGGTTACATGGACTGTCTGTCACTGGAGGGAAAGAAAGCTTGAATGTTTCATTAGGCCTATACAATATCTTAATCTGTGTTTTGAAGATAACCAAAGTCTGATGGTTTTGAACTACAAGAGGGTGAATAAATGATGTTTATGATGACGATTTCCCTCAAAAATGAGACTACAGATGGTTTTTCCAGTGAATTTGTTTTTTAAAAAGCACCAAATATCAGAATTGTTGAAAAATGCATTGAAATCTATAATTTTATAATGTTGACCTTGTATTCTAATGTATTTTTCAAATTTGGCCAAATGTGAGAGACTGTCTTTTTTTTTTTAAGTTAATGCAAGTTTATCTGAATGTGAGTGGCTTTTTTTCAATGGCACATGGACCATGAATTTCTTGGATGAACGTTCTATTCTGGAATGTTATGCTTTTATTAAGCCATGCAGTTTTAAAGCAGTTTTCACTATTACCTGTTGCAAATTCTTCCTCAAATTTCTATTCAATGCTAAAAGTGGAAATTATGTCAATGAGTGTTGACATTTTAAAATGTTTGTCTCTCAGCTTATTTTTTTTTCCAAACAGTAATTCAACACAGATTAAAACCGATTACTTGAAACAAGTTTTACAAGTTTAAAATTTTTTACTTTGATCCAACAAAAAATTTTTTTTTCAGTGTATAAAGTCTAAATCAGTTTATGAATAGTTCATTTACAGATGCAGGAGAGAGTAAATAGCGGCGTGCTGGAGTGTTCGATCATGACCTCCCAGTTGGCAGTTTATCCAGCTCAAGCTGCTTGTGTGGAAAAGCCAACCAGCCATCATAGGGCGGTCCCGAGCTAAACACCCAAGCAGTCGTCAGAGGGGGTACATTATCCAACGTTCCCAGACTTTAACTTTTAACGTAATTTTAACCCTGAGGAAAAAGCAGCCTCCAGTAGTGAGAGAGTGCGAGGATTACAGTGATGTCCTGAGATTATTTAGCATCTAAATAAAGCCCAGCACTGAGGAACTCTGTTTATCCGACACTGAGCAGAGACTGGACTATTACCTGTGAGCACAATGACTGCGCTGTATCACACATTCCTGCTATTTACAGGTGAGGCTGCTCACATCTCATTTAACTAGTCACTCTCACACTGCTTTCTTATATCATCTACATTTATTATTAAATAAATAAGATGGGGTCGCTACTAGACACATGTAGTGTTTGTGCGTGTGTGTGTTTGTGTGAATAGTAGGCTATATATATAATTAATTTATTTCATTTTTTTAAATAAAATTAAAAATAATTGTTAAAAGGTACTTTGAGTAATGCATTTAGTATTTTTAAAATGCATGCATTTAGTAGCTTTTAACAACTAATTTAGATGTTTTAAAAAAAAACTTTTGACAATACAATCAAACTATGAATACGTTTATTTTAAAGTTTAAACCTAAGCTTGCTTTATTTATTTATTATAGTTTTTTTATGTAATTGGGGGCAGAGTGGACAAAAGTTGGCTGAAAAAAATACTTTATGAAACTATTTTCACTCAGAAATTGCTGGTAAATTTCTCAAATAAATGGCAAATAATACAATAAATGAAACATGATATTTTGAAGTAGAAAGACTGATTTTTTTAAACCATGCTTAAATAATGTTTGTTTTATTTACAACTTAGAAAATGATTTTTTTACAGCATAGGTTAAAAAAAAAAGTTAATAAAATTACCCGAGTGATTCAAGCAGATCATTAAAAAATATATACTTATGACTAAGAGTAAAATACACTTGTCATTTAGACCCATAAGAAATCCCACACAACTGGAATCTAACACTTCATCAGTGGAATGAAAAAAGGCCCTATTCTTTCCTTGGGAAACTCTGGACAATAGATTTGAAGTTGTTCCGTAAGTCTTACAGACAGTTACAATAAATGACTATAAATGTAAAACATTTAGGGATATAGTAACATAACACCATAGCTTTATATATATGAGACTATGGAAAAGTGTTTTAAAAGTATACAGCAAAAAAGATGTTAAATGTCTACTATATGAATAAATATAAATGTAAAGAAAAATTGGTTACATTATAATGAACACCAGCATTCACCACTTTCACCATTTTACTCTTTTCAGTCAGTATGGCTTCCCTGCAGCCACAGAGATCTTCACGGAGCAAAAGGGGTTTGCTGGAACTAGCTGGCGTGATCAAGTGCAGCACGGGACGATCAGCTTTAACTTATGCGATGTACGGATGTTACTGTGGTCTCGGGGGTCAAGGGTGGCCCAGAGACAGAGCAGACTGGTAAGACACCACATTACTTACAAATATCTGGTTAGATTTGCTCTTATTAAATTTACTCCATGCATCTTGGTCAAAGTGTGTCCATTTCTGTGGCCTTCCCTCAGACATCCGGAAAAGTCTTACTCTCAGCTCTCCCACACACAAAATTACAATTTCCCTTAACCTCAGTTAAGGATGCAGAGACCAATATCGCCGTTCCCAGTGAAAGAACTCTTCGGAAGTGGACAGCGGGTTGAACACGAATAAACAAAACTGCTAATATTATTACACCACATTCCACCGAGGGACTGCTCAATCTAATCTTACAGAGTCAGCAGTTTATCTGGCCAACATTCTCAGCGGCCCTCCATGTATGAGATCACGTTGTAGGCCTATTTCTGCAAGTCTACTTGAATTATACGTTACATAATGAGAAAACAATTCAAAACCAGACAGAACTGGGCTAGGTCCTCTGTGCCATTTCATTACTGATAATCTCAAGGTCATTTGTTCTTCTTTAGGTGTTGCCACAAACATGACTGCTGTTATGGGGATGCAGAATTCGCAGGCTGTCAGACCAAAACGGACAGGTATCTGTGGACGTGTGAAGAAGAGGAGGCTGACTGTGGTATGATGTGTTATTTAGATATTAAACCGGCATATTTACATTCTTTTAGAATCACATTTTACATTATAATAGCCTGGGATTGAAATAAGAAAGAGAAAAATCAGTAACGCTTAAAAGGGGATAGTGAACTTGTGGAAACATATGACTACGAACGTTTTGTTTGGTCTTTTCCTTCAGCTTCAGGAAGTAGTAGTAATACATGGTGTGTATTATAACAGATGGAAGACTTCAGGCTAAAAACAGGCCAAACCACAAGATATTTTAAGATCTTGTTCCCGCAGTAAACACAATAACGTGCTATAGGAAACACTCAGTATATTGTTGAAGAGGCATAAAGTGATGGTTTTAATGCATGGTTAAAATATGGTTTCCTTCACTCTGTATGCAAACTACTCATTTTACACAGCCAACAATTTACATTTATGTCTTCAACGCAGACACGTTTAATGACAGATGTGCGAAAATCCTTTGCCGATGTGACAGGGAAGCAGCCAGATGCCTCCGAAAGGCACCGTACAACCAAAAATATGCTCTGTGGCCAGATTTCCTCTGTGGATGTGTTCATCCTACCTGCAACATTTACTAATGTAATTTACAAAAAATTGGGTAAACAAATCTTTTTGAGCTTGTATTGTATGTTTGATGTTTATTACAGACTTTATTCTGTTCAAATGATTTCTATTTTCTACATATGTGTATTTTGTATTTTCTATTTGCATAGTTGACTTTCAAAAGTGAATGGATTAAAATATGTGCAAAATAATCACAGTATTGCTCATTTTTTAGATATGGCTAAATTCAGTCATGATATCAGTGCGTTTTCTGAATGGCACTGCAGGGGAGAGTGGGGCTAGTTATTTCTCAGCGTAGGCTTATTAAAGTAAATGTGTCACAAACAATAGGTAGAGTACTGTCAGGACCTCCGCATGCAGACACAATACGCAAAATAGCTGCAAGACATACAGGATTGGCACTTCCTGAGAAACACTGTGCCTTTGATGTTCTGATTGTATGGACCATTTGGTTCACACCTTTACAGACAGAGAAGCAATTTATTTCATCTGGCGCACAGTCAACTTAATTGAATCTGATATTCACACCATCTAATAAATGCAACCGACATAATCTTTCAATAGTCAATTTAATGGCTTTTTTAATCGAAATTCACTCATGAAACAGCAAAAAAAAAAAAAAAAAAGGCACGGTTACATGCAAAAAAAAAAAATCAAACGATTGTTTATGCCAAAAGAAATTGTAATAAGTTTATTATAAAATATCAAAATTAGGGCTGCTACGATTCGTCGATTCTATTCGACTATTCGATAAAAAAATTAAAAAAAATTAAAAATCCTCGACTTCATTTTGCCTGCGTCGACTACCGGCAAAATACCGGAAGTGGTGCATTTCACGGACGAGAATCCATAAAACACATTATTAGACTGTTTTCCAAGGCCTCGTGATATATTAAACCCGCTTAAAAATGATAATTAAGCATAACTGTGAATTCACAAACGCTATGATTTAATTAAATAATTATATGTGATGCAGTTATAGGTGTGTAGGTTACGTACGTGCGTCTCACAGCGGCTCTGTTCACAGTAAATGCTGTTCCACAGTAGGGATGGGCGATACCACTTATTTTGTTTTCGATACGATACCGATATTTTTCAAGGCAGTATCGTCGATATCGATACCGATTCGATACTTCTGAACTAAACTTGTAAATTATGAAATGTATTAAATTATTAAATTATTAAGAGCAAAGTGGGTAATG